GACACTGCCCAATCGCATATTTGGGAATTTCAGAGAATTCACACTCCTGGAGCTGGAAGAGGGAAGGGGTGTGTCAACTTCTCTCAACTGAGTGTTTTCCCAGCTTTATTTGGGGGCCTTTAAGAAACTTATGAAGCAATAGCACATTCTTGGTGCTCATTGTGCATGTTCACTGCACTGGACAAGTTTGATTCCAGGAATAAGTTTATTAAATTTGGGGTCAGGCAATAACACAATCTCAGTTAAGAGTCAAGAACCCAATCACACACCTCACTTTCAGACAATGCTTCCACTTAACTTGACTGGAATTTTGAGTGATAGAAGTCCATGGCCCTAAAAACAGAACATTCCCGTAAGTATTGAGGTATTGTGAGGGGGATGGATTCCAAAAACTTGCTGTGAACTCTGCCAGTCTTTTAGAAAGATACAGCAGTATACCAGTTCACACATGTAACATTAATCATGTTTTTAAATAAATATGTCCATTCCTTTTCTAGAGATACTCCTTAGAAAATAAGTCATCCTATTCTTTTTTTTTACAATTTTACTATCAAGAACAATTGAGATTCTTCCTCACCACTCTCACTCACCCCCACAATATTAGGACATAAAAACTTACCCATGAGTACTTAATAAGGTGTTAGTTTGCATCTGGCAGTCCTGTGGCACTGTGGGTTGTGCTAAAATTCTTAGTGAGACTTTTTTTACGGAGAAACGAAAATAAGCAGGAAACAAATTTGTGATTTTTTAAATTGTTGTTGTTAGGAAGATAGTCTGAAAGGAAAAGTTGTTTAATTTGCAAGCTTGTAAAAAAGCAACAAGAAAGAACAGTGGGCTATCATGTAAATAGTGGGTTAAAAATCAATAGCTGGTGTCAGTAGTCTCTAGAAATACAGAACCCTTAAAGCAGTCCTTAGGCAGATAGAGTAACTTGTGTACTGGGAATCCCCACTGTGGGCATAGACAGCCTGACTGAAGAAAAAGGGTCTCACATTCAGGGAACTTGACTTCAGTTTCTGGTCTGAGCCACAAAATTTCTGTCTCGCCCTTCATAAATGGTTAATCTCTACACCTTAGGTTCATCTGTTAAAGCAGAAGGAAAGCCTTGGGAAAAAATGCATGATACTTAATTCCAAAACAATAATAAGGAACTTCTGGTGGGCACTCTGTCCAATTATTTTGGATAAGAAGTCATCTTAGACATTGGTGTTAGTGGTATCCATTGCTTAACAGATAGATTATCCCATGTTTGTCAACAAAACATCTTAAGAAGTAGTTGAAAACCAAAACAATCTAAGCTAAAGAAACAGTGACTGAGAACAGACTGAAGTTCTCATACAAGCAGGAGCTGATGAAATATTGTGGTGTTGCTTAGAAGTCACTGAGACTGTGGTTAGTTTCTATTCTCTAGCCTTAAACTTTTCTGAGTAATGGCTTTGCTTTTGTTTGACGTTTTTAGACCTTTGCACGAGAACAGACAAAAGTGCAGCAGAGTTTCCCCACTGACATCACAGCGACTGAAATCAGGGGTGACCTTTAAGGTTGAACACAAGACTTGTGTTTGAACATACAAACCTCTGCTGGAGCTCCACAGCTGGGCTGCTGGACAATCCACCTCAGCTTACTTGTTACTGAAAGGTGAACCCAAACCAACTTTAAATAGCCAGAGTCTAGAGAAAAATGAGATATTACCTTGACTGAATTTTCCCCATTTGAAGTCACAACATGTATGAATGGGAGAGAAAATTAACATGCTGCTGCTGACTCATTTCTGGAAGAGGAATAGTATTTAGTAAACTGATTGATAACTTTACAGGCACGTACCAAACATTTACCCTGAATTACAGCAGAGTGAACATCTCTGTACTTGCACAATTTACCATTTAGTGTAAGGCAGGATTTATTTAGTGGGTGAACAGAGGAACAGAAACAGGGGATTCCCTGGCCTTTTCATTGCTAGTACTTCACTGCTTGCAACAGGGTCATTTTCCTCAAAATACAATTCCCAGGGGCATATTTTTGTCTCATTTGGTTGTAACTAAATTACTGCAAGCAATCACTCTACAGAAGATACTGTCTCCATGATTTTCCAGTTGTTCATGATTTGGCAAATTTGGTAAATGCTTTGAACAAAAGCGATACCAGGTTTCTTTACAGACCCTCCCAACATGTTATCCTGAATAGCAAGTAACATACAGAATTAATTAAAGACCTGTAAAAACATTCAGAATGAGTGGAGATAATTAACATATCCTGTACCATCTAGGCAAAACCAAAAGTGAATGTAATGACCAGCTCCAAGTCATGCAAGAAACAGAGACTTTACTTTCAGAAGTACAATTCAGAGCCAGCACCAGCTTTCAGTTTCCTGACAGCCTAATGCCTGTTTCATTTGAGAGAGCAGAAAATGCAGAACTGTAAAATAGCTGGTATTTCTCTGACTTAGTTATTAGAAATCTCAGTTGGATTGCTCATTATGACAGGTTTCTGCCTTTCTGCTTAAGGCTGTACATATTAAAATGAAAATTCAGTATCAAATAAATAAAAAGAGGAAAAACAATCTAACAAAAATCACAACAAACATCGTTCCAAAGCAGTGCTGAAGGCATTTAGCCAAGAATTACACATCAGTGATTCACAAAACCTCAGCTTTTCTTCCTTGCATGCATGCACTCAAGAGTAGGTGGTATAACCTTCTGTTCTGGCCAAGTGACCACACTGGAAAAACAGAGCAGAATTAAAACTGCAGGGATAACAGAAATTCTAGCATGTTCTAGCTTTAGTACCTACTTGCTACAGCCTCTTATTTTTATCAATTATCATCAACACACATTGTTGGTTATGGCGAGTCAACACTTCCTAGTTTAAGGCCACATTTTCAGTCACTCCCAGTTTGCCAACACCTTTTCTTCACATGATCACACACACTGCCCCTTAACACGATTTTTTAGGAAAAACAGAACAAATATGACTCAGTCATTTTTCTACGAATGACCATGGGGAACATATACTTTAACTATATTCAAAGAATCCTTAAACTTTTAAGAAACTCCTTTGCATTTCAGAAACAAGGACATGAAATTTAGTGAGGAAGCTGTGCTGGTGTCATTACTGGGATTTTCTGCTCTTCCTTGGAAAAGATTGACTTTGCATGTTTGCCAGACTTGCTTTTAGTAGCCAAAATTTTAGCTTTCTGTCCACTGCACAGACATGCAGAGAGTGAGGTGGATGGTGCCCACAGCAGGCAGCTGATTGCCAGGCTGCCACAGGCTGAAACTGAAACAGGGCAGGTTATTTCTCCTCTAGTTTCAGGACTCACGGCAGTTTTACTCATCACTACCAAATAATGATTACCCAGTTCAAATTCAGAAATAGGGACTCAGGTGCAAGAGGGAAATGGGAATCATCAGAGAGAAAAGGAAAACAGGCAAGAAGAGTCTGAGATCAGAAGGAATGAAAAAAAGTTGAGGTGTGAATAAGAAACAAGGTTGGGAGAAGACAGCAGGAGTATTCAGAAGTTTCCTTTTTCCCAGGAAAGAGGAACTGCTCAAGGATGAGCAGTCCGTATCAATTTCTTGAAGGTCAGACAGCTGAGACTTTAACAGGCTGTATTTTCCAGAATAAGGGAAAAATCAGTCCCCAGGCTACTGCTTTGTCAAGATCCTCCCATAGTAACACCCAAGGTCCAACAGCCTGGAGCCCTGAGCCCTTGGGCCACGCTCAGGGGCCGGCACCCCAGGGGAGATGATGGATGGAGAAACCCTCATCCATCCCTGGGACACTCCATGGAGGCAGCAAGGAGTGCAGGGTGGAGGCCACCCCCGGGCGCTCAGGGCAAGGCAGGCACATCACGGGGGGGCTGTGGTGTCCCCGCAGCCGGTGGCAGCGGCAGCCCAGGGCAGCAGTGACGCTCCGCGGTGGCCACACGCGGCACTGTCACCGCACACGCAGCCCCGGGGCAGGAAACAGCCAGGGCGTGGGACGGGCACGGGAAAGGACACAGCGGGCAGGCAGTGCCCAGAGCCAGCCCCCGGAGCGGGCACGGCTCCCCTGCGAGCCGGGAAAGGACACGGGGGGGCAGCAGGCAGCGCCCAGAGCCAGCGCCGGGACGGGCACGGGTCCCCTGCGAGCCGGGAAAGGACACAGCCCCCGGGACAGGGAGGGAGGGAGAAGGCAGCAGCCGGCTGGGCTGGGCTGGGCGTGAGCCCCTCGCCTGCAGCCTCCGAGCACGGCTCTTCATTTACTGGAATAATGCACAGGATCACACTCTTTATAAGAAACGTGATGAGGTAATTGCTAAAATACAGCCAGGAGTTTTTGCTGGTCTTTTTAGGCTCAGCAGCTTATGTCACTCGTGTTACATAAGACAGGGTTAGTAAGCCCCCTCTCTCCCACAACCAAGTTGAACAAATTTCAAGATACCTTTTTTCCTCTTTGCTTTTTCCTCCTTAAGGCAAAAAGTAAGCACTTTCTCTCACTTCCTACAGGAAAATCAATTGCTACAGCCAAAATGTAGGTGACTTCACATTAACTGCTTCTTTGCTTGTACCTAGCGAGTAAAACCACAGATGTTAACTCCTGCAAGGCAACTTCTTGCTCAAAGTTACTGACCAGACACAATTTCAGTGCAGAGCTGCTCCTCTTGGAAGAGACTGAGATGAGGGACCCATGCTCAAGCCAGACACCCAGCAACCAGCTAAGAAAGCAGAGAGAAAAGAACAACGTTTGGAGGAAGTCTGAGAGAAAAGAGCTTCCCTCAGGCAGGAGTAACTTCCCTTCCAATCACTTCAACAGAGGAGAACACCCAAGTTGAGTAAGTTTGAACTTTATTTACAAACAGCTGAATTCTAATCTCAGGGTCCTGGGGCAGCATCGAACTTCTGCAGCATCCAGGGAAACTCCAGAACACTGACGTCACTTAACATCACACTTGACATCCTTATATGTCAAGACACATTAAGATAAGACGTGTAATTCACCAATGGATCAAGTCTGAGAAACTAGTAACCTAAATTCTTCCTGAATGCTCTTCTCAAAACCCTGAACATTCTTCTTAAAACCCTAAGAGTGAGGAAGAAAATAAAAAAAAAATTTATAAAGAGCAATTGGAAGATTAACCATAAAGCAAGAGCAAAATAAAATGATCTGTGTAAAGGTATATCCATAGCTAGGTTACTTTAGTTTGAGAATAGTTGCATAAGTGAATGTGCTGACATAGAGCCTATGGGAAAATGATCCCTTAAACAGTCTTGGAACACTCATGTGGAAGAATTTAAAAGCATGGGAATATTACAGGACTGTAGTCTACTACAAAACACTTCCCATATTCCTTTTGCTGTTTATCTTATCACCTACTTCAGCTTTAGTTACCTCAGATTCATGATGGATTTGTATTTACACAGGTGCTGAAGCTGTAGACCTACTGTAACTGGTACACAGAAGTGACAATGTTTGAGTGCTGCTGGTTTAGAACAGGTCACAAAAAGGAGGCAACCATTTTATAAACCCAAGGTGTAGTTCTGCTGAAAGCCACTTAAGTAACAGAGGTACTGTTTCGTAATTTTAACCTAAATCAAAGCCTTGCAGTCTAAGCTTTGGGGGTTTTGGAGGGTAGAAGGAAGAACAAGGCCTAAAACTCACTAAGGTCAATTTCTAAGGGATAAATTGCACTTGAAACAAGCTGGAAACCAGAGAATAAGGGGAAAAAAACCAAGTAGATTGTGATAAATGTAGCCATGCTTTCCCCAAGGGTTTGGGATACTAGCAGCAGAGGGAATGCTAAGGAGTTAAGACATGACAAGATAGATACCACCTCTTATTTCCTTAAAATCCTTCACTCTCCTCACTAAGGTGGATACTTAAGATGTTTAGAGCTCAGATTTGCTCTTCAAGACAAGCAACTAATTTTAAAACAATTCAGGGGTATCTTTGTCCACATATCAAACTGGGACTTCAGGTGAGTCATGCAGTTGGCCAACTGCAAAATGCAGAGGGCATTAAATCAAACCCCAGATCTAGCAGAAGCAGGAAAGCAAAGCAGTGTTCCTGGTCTCCTCAGGCTTACTCTAGCATGGCAGTTTAGTCAGTTTAGTGGTAAATGTGGCAGTGTTAAGTTTACTACTGGACTCTAACCTGAAGGTTTTTTTCTACCTAAATGATTTTATGACATTAAAATTCTGTAGAAAGCTTTTTTCTGGCACTGCCTTCCTCCCACCCCTTTAGAGTTGGTTTAGTTGTTTAGATTTTTTTAAGCAGATCCCATCTGCTCTAAAAAGAAAAAAAAAAAGAGAGACTAAAGATTTTAAGTTTCACTTTGAAGATAGCTTTTTACAGTACATACAAAAATACTCTGGAAAAACAACTTACAAGTTCACTTATGAAACCACCAAATGATAAAGAAATTACAGTAGAGAAATAGCATAATACTTGTTTCATATAATCAGAATTTCTCCCCACCCCCCAAAACCCCTAATGCATTTAGCTGGGTAAGCAGTGCTATCAGTTTACAGAACCAGACTCAAGACTAGGACAGGTTTTCATGTAAGCATTTAGAACAGCTTTCAGGGTTTATCTGAAACCACCTTCTGCATGCAGCTTGCAGGTGGGCAGTAGTGTCAGGACAGCCTCAGCTGTTGCAATGTTTCAGTGCATCTTTGCTGTGTGCTCAAAGTTGGGCTTTACTACCCAGTGACACAAAAAAACCTCTCAAGTCTCACGCTGGAGCAGTCTTGAGACAAAGAAAAGTATCAGATAACACAGCATGGGACATGTCTGTCTAATCTCCATACCTTGGTAGCATCCTCTGCTGCATTTCCTTCAATACTGAACTCATTTAGGGGCCTCCATGGGAGGCAGCACCTGTGCAGTGCATGGCTGTGCAAGGCAGGGGCAAGCTGCAAGGAAGCTGAGCACCATTGTGAGAGGAGCACAGGAGTGCGTGGTGTGCCAAATGGGAAGATAATTGGAGAGAAGAACAATGCATGCACATGAATTAGGCAAGCACAAAGGAACACAAGCACGCTCGTACGCACTCGAAAACAGAATGTGGTTGCAGCAACTAATTAACCCTGGTGGCATTTATCCATTCTGAATCCAAGGCACAGGACAGGTTGGTTTTTGTAGCTGTTTCAGCTGGTGACAATTTAGACTTTTAAAAAACTCCTAAAGGTAACTGTTACAAGCACATGCAAAGAGTAGCTCAAAAGGAAGCAAGCATCCAACAGCAGTATAAAAATCAGACCATGATTTTAGCTGGTCAGTTACAGTAGGGGCACAGTAACCTTCTACCTTTGTTAGTAACTACAACACACACTCAGAATAAGGACTGGTAACAAGTGATTATCCTCTTCACCTGAAGATCAACCACTTACCCATTAAGGGTAAGTTTGATGGATCTTTTAATAATACGAATGCTATTTGTTGGAACAGGAGATGAAGAATCTGGCAGTTCTTTACTGGGAAGCCTCTGTAACACACAAACAGATGCCACAGCAAAAAAAAAAAAAAAGGAAAAAAGGATTTTTTAAATCAATAATTGAATTAATTTAAAATTCATTAATTCAGAAGTAGCAGCAGATAAACCCTTTCCTAGCTGAATATAACATTCTTTGTGTAACAGTTTATGTACTAAACTTGTATGGCTCAAACCCATTTTTAGAGAAGCCTTTTTTTTTTTTAACCACACCACTTATTGAATTACCACCATATCCAGAGGAAGAACATTTTCCCCTCTGCACAATTCTTTTCTTGCATGAACTGAGACCAGTCTATCCCTGATGGGGGGGGGGGGGGAAGAGAAATTAGAGTTGCTCAACAGCACAGTAAAGAAAGATTTTTCTCAGATCCATGGATCAGGAAAACAGAGTCTCTACTGTCTGGATCACTTCCAGTCTTACAGCCCTCACTTTCACAACATTCTACATGACACAGAGCAGTTAGTCACCTATAGACTTCAAAGCTTCCAAGTCTCATCACAGAAATCAGTATACAAGTACTGATAACAGTACAAGAAAACCAAACCAGGACACAAACTCAGTGTCTGGGGGCATGGAAATGTAGTTTGCCAAGTTCAAAACTTGGAAACTTTGGCTTTTCTGAAGGTCATTGCTCATTTATTTAATTTGTTGGAAACACAACAGGCAAAACTCTGCTCATCTTCAAACCACCAAGTGTGATGGTACATAAATCTTTGTACATGCGATGAAAACTGGCTCTGCTTTACCTATGAAGACAAATGCACAATAAATACCTGTGATCTTGATGTGATCACTGGAATCTGCATGGATTTTCCATCAAGGACACCCTAAAAAAGCCAGAAGGGATTTTGTTAGGCAGTATTGCCAGGTTCCTGACTGAGAGGCAGCAAGTTCTGGCAGCAAGGATACCTTAAAATCATACATGCATTAACAACCTCCACCCCATGGGGCGTGGGTTTAGGTATCCTGAAGCCCTAAAACCACACAGACAGTGGTTCAGGTATTTCAGCCCTCACCACCAAGATCTCATCTTTATTTGAGGGTGTGCCCTCAAGAGTTTATGCCTCAGTAACAAGCACCATGAACAGCAAGGCTCTTTATCCTCCCTCTGAGAGGCCAAAGGATTTAGTCTTTACAGCAGTTTTAATTTACATCAGTGAATCAAATAGTTTTGAAAAGAAAATTCAGTATTATTTCAAACATGGAAATGAATTAGACACTACCAAATCAACTAACAGTAACATTTAAAAGATAGGTCATATGAGTGTAATATTTGGGGAATGAGGACTGAAATAAACTAAACCAAAAAGTGTATTTTTGTTTCCATCAGTAAACATGCAGAGAATTTATGTGAGGCAGTCTAATCACCAAACTATTGAGCTTTTCAGTTAGTCCACTGAGTAAAATCACTTAAAAATTACATTTTTTGTAGCTCTCTTCCTCCCATCTTGAGGGTATCCACTTTCTGTGAAATCCGAGTCCCACACGTTTAGCTGGAGGAACAAAATACACAGACTCAAAATAATTGCTGTGCTAAAATTCTCTTATTTGGGTACAGCTTCCAGTCAACACATTAGATGTATTAGGGGCCATTCTTAAAAGAATATTTACACAAGTCCACCATTACCCCACAGGAATTTCAAGCCTCTGAAAAAGCCCTACTACCCAAGCCTTGAAATCTGTACTTGCAATATTCAGCACTAGATTACAGTTCTACAAGAGGATTCTTTTTAAGTGTCAAAGTTGAGGGTTCTTTCTCTGGTTGTTCTTTGCTTGTGCCTCAAATCAGAGGTCAAGCTCCAAGAACAGCTACTTAAGGATATTTACACATAGGAATAAAACAAATGAAATACTAATCTAGAAGTTCCACAAACCAAGATTTAACAAGAAACTCCACAGTATCATTTCAGAAGTAATGACCTATTGAGTAGGCTGCTGATTTCTAAAGCAGCACAACTGTCAACAGACACTCAAAAAGCATCTGCCAGAAACAGATTAGCTCATACTTTTACAGTCATAAGATTCATATCTTCTTTGTTTGGAGATAGTTTTTTTCTGAATTAAGAACTGCTTCCAGATGAGACAGTTCATTCAGCAATTGGTCACTGCAGTGACAGATAAGCACAGGAGTATTTAGATAACTTGGCACCTGATGACAAGCAGTCATTAAGTGCCAGATCTTGAAAATATGTTAATAGTTACACATCAGATTAATTACAATTACATTCTAGTCCAACTAGAATGTAAATTTAGATTCCTAAGTCCTTTGGGGATGTATAAATGCATTCATTTTCAGTTATTTAACTTGTTCTACATCAGTAATCAATACTGCTTTCAACCCTCCTTGGGCTAGCCCCCCCTTCTTGCCTTTTCTCCATCTATGGCTTTTTGGGGGCATTCTCCTGCTGTTGGTGGACGAGATACTTTAGAGCTTGGTGAATAATGCTGCTTAGGTGAAGCACTCCTAGGATCCGTGATTAGAGTCCCACTTAATTTATGCTGCTCTTGCACAAAACACGCTCTGAGTTGACAAACCGTGTTATATCCTGGAATGGTGCAACCAATGGGAGGTCCCGATGTTCTTAGTGCAACTGTAGCCTCCATTTCTGTAGGAGACACCTGGCTTTTAGAGTTTGGCCACGAAATGATAAACTACATTCCACCTACCACTTCAAATACATACTTGGGTCAGTCACAGGAATGCAAAGTCCCTTAGACGTGGATGGCTCAGCTACACTGTTGGCACCACTACAACTCTGACATTCAACATTTCTATAAAAGTCAAACACTTGAGTTATAAAATGCTAGTTTGTGAGATACTGTATATGTCATTTCCAGAAAGTGCATGCAAGACAAACATCGACCTCCTTAGCCCCTTGTCAGAGCTCTATTAAACAACACAACCTCCCAGGCAATGTAGCACCAAACCACCATTTGGCTGGATTTCAGACTGCAGATTTAAACTCAAGCATTTTCTTTACTGAGTCTTTATGTGCTGATATATTCTCCCAGATTAGTCCACCCAGCACTTGTGCTGCTTTGAACCCCTGTTCTGTTCTACCCAGATGTCCACACACTTTTTTGTGTTTATTTTTTTTTCATGTGACTTCTACAGTATCAAACATTCTGAAGAGAGCAGGTATCACACATTTGGTAGGATTGGGCAATTACTCTCAAGATTACATATCCTTCCTGTGCTTAGGGATAAACAGACTTCCCAGGAAGTGACAGACTTTTACTGCCCGAGTTCTCATACCACTCCACTAAGTCAGCAGCAGCTCTGGTGTTTCTGACACCAAATTCAGTATGTCATTAGAACTTAATCTACTTGGCATCACCATACTTTTTGTTAGAAAGAACAGTCACTTGCACATAAAATACTCCAGCTTCAAGTTACCCACTAAACTGTGAAGATTTACATTCAAGACTAAATTTCCCTGGTGTCAAGTTCTCCATTCCTCCATGTTCATGGATATTATTTAGAATTTTTCAAGGATTCCTTTAACCTGGTCTCCTACCACATGCCCAATGGAGATTCCAGCTTTGTTCCTGAAGCTTTTAGAGCCCTCCAAGTGCTTATGATCCACATAGATCCAAACTAGAAATCCTAGACTCATTTACAGTGTGAGTCAGTTAAAAGCAGCTTCTCCACAGTTCCAAGGTCATGGCACTAACCTTTCTGTCTCTGCTGTAGAGATGTCCAACTTAGATATCTTATTTAACGAAGAGGAATTAGAGGGTGTTCTGGAATCTCTGTCTTTGGAACCATCCGAACAGCTTTCACCTAAAGAAGACCTTTTGCACTGAAGTCCACTATTATTTTGACTAATATCTGACACCCTTTGCTGAAACGACAGTTAAAAAATAAAGTCTTCAAGTAATCATTAAAGCTTTTATTAAAAATTACCAGAAGCGCTGAATTTTTATTATACCTTCTTTCTTTTCTGTAAGGTTCCTGCTGGCAAAAAATAATGGAGTTGCTTTCTCTTCACATAAGTTGCCTCAATCTTCATACCTTCCTTTAGGATGTTGAGGGCACTGGCCTGCCTGTAAACTGACATCAAAAACAGTGTTGTAGCTTAGTGGGGATGTTTGCATTAGTGCTGGTCAGTTATATTTGGTTTCTTTAGAAACATGACTGCCCAGCCCAAATGAAGAGTTCCCAGCTTAAGTTTACACAAAACACTGCCCAAGCATTCCCATCACCACAAAAAGGTGACTGTGACCTGTGATGGCCATTTTCCATTCACCACAGCCCAGCCACAAGAGCTGTTTGAGTTCAAATTTGCATTTTTAAATTCTATCTGTCCAAGGAAGCCAGACTGGATTTTAGGGACATATGACTTAACAGACTCACTACAATTTAAACATGTTTTTCTCAACTGCCTGCAAGCAGCCTTTTATGCAACTGGCAAAGGCTATAGCAGCACAACAGTTATTACAGAGTTAAGGCACATTTAGATAAGCTTATCTAACTGGCCTATCACTGGAGCATAACTGGAAAGTCAGCTTCTAACACACAGAGTGGGAATCAAAGCAAGGATATGCAACCCAAAGGCTTTCCACAGGAGACCAGAGGTGAAGTAAAAGCACAGAGATGAGCCCACACACCAGTATGGACAGTTCCTTCAAATGAAATTCAATAATTTGTATGCAAAAGGGAAATAAAGTTCACTGAACAAAAGCCCTCCAAACTGAGCCTTCTGTTCTTGGGCTCCTCAATTTGAAATGAATCTTTGCCCTCTAAAATTATTCTCTCAAAGTCAAGGCACATGGTAACAGCTCTCTAGCACAGAACTACTGGTTCCAAATGATTTCCCACCTCTCAAGGAACAGCTTTTCTGTTCAATTCTCTCTGGATTCACACCCTACAGCCAGCACATACCACAGGCTGTGAGAGCACACAGCTAAAGTAAGAGCCCACAGCCACGCTAACAATGTTTGTGCACAGAGGATTTACCATTAGTTCTGGCCTCTCAGCAGCACATAAATCTCATCACCATAATTCACACTTGCCACTGAAATGTAGTGCCACTGGATGTAACCAGCAAGTACAGACAGCAGTGCAAGTCTGAGGAAATCACCCTGCCTGGCTTGTAACTCAGATGAGAGTTCTGATACATTTTTCTGTGCTTTTCTCATATCCCAAGCACGAGCTATGAAGAAGGTTGGGTTTTACTGCTTTTAGTCATGCCATCTGAGCAAAACAACACAGAAGTCGTGCTGGTGCTATGGGAAAACTCCAACAAACATTTACAGGATTACACTGTTCAGAACTCTGTCCTAACACACTCATCACTCAGAATAGCCTAATTTCCTTATTATTCTAGCATTATCTAACAACACTTGCCATATTAATTTATTTCTACATCTATCAAAAGTAGTACCAGACTTTGGACATGAAAATTTACATGCATGTAATTACTATGTGACAACCCAGTGACTTCCACAGTTCTGAGATCACATTATACACAAACTGTCTTGGAGAAATACCATCAACAGGCATCAACAACTCCTTTCAGAGCTTGACACAGTCACTTCCCACTTCCAAAGTTCAGCAGCTGACTACTGTTTGACAAGTATAGCTACCCCAGCAAATGGGCATCCCTGGGCTTCACAGCTGACTGCCCCTACAAGAAATGCACTTGTTTCACATATGGCACATGGTGTATGACTGTAACACACTTTTGTTTTAAGATGGCCTTACCTTGACAAATGTCAACACAATGTGTTTTTGAAGCTAATCTTTCATATGTTGCTATCTAATAGCAAAAGGAAGCACTTTGTGAAGCAACTTGCACTGGAATAAAAAGAATGACACTCTACAAGTCTAGAGCAAGAAGAGAGCCTTACCTGTGTCTGTGAATGACTGTATCCCATGTGTTAGATCAACGTTAGTCTTTACTGCACTTTCTGCTTTCTTAAACACAAGCCCAAGAAACCACATTGATACATATCCACTCCTAAAAAGAGACAGATTCACAAACCTGAGTTGGGCACCAGTCACTTGGATTCTGGTACATTTGAGCTGTTCAGTTTAGAGATAGCCCAGACTAAATTTCTCAGAGCACTTCTCCCTGAACTGCTCCCTTCTTTAAAAAGATTTTATGTGCTCAGGACCCTGCCAGAGACACACAGAGCCTCTCTCATCAATGAGCTGAGGGGAATGAAAATACAATTTGGCCAATGTGCACTTCAGAAAAGTAAAACAACTCACTGTTTATAGAGAACTTCATTGCCAGGGAAAGACTGTGGCTGCACGTGTGCAATAGTTATAAATTCATTCCTTTCCAAGTTTCCAACCAGCACACGGATTTTGGACTCCACGAGGCCAATCCTAATAAAAACAAGAGGTATTTTATTCATTTTTAACTGTTTCCAGCTCATCAGTTAGATGCCTTTTTGTAGCACAGTGTTAACCAATCAACAAGGACCAAGTTTCATCCAGCTGAGCAGACACTAGGTCTTTATATCACATACATCTGTAATTTGAGATGTTCCCAGTGACATTTGTGCTTTTGTTTCTAAAGACAGAGACAAGTGAGTTTTACATGTACCCTGCACAGTTTGGATACAACACTCCCACCTGTGACCTATGATGAAAATAACAAGGAGCAGATCCTAGCACCTCTGGGGTGCAGCAAAACTCCTTTTTGCCACAAGGATCAAGGAGAACAGTGGTTTTGGAAAGGCTCAAGCACAGCTGTTCAGTTACACCCAAGTAAAGATGCAATTCTTCTTGCAGATTGATCAGTGAAAATGTAAAAATAGTTATTTTAATAAACAAATCATCTAGTCAACACCCTCCTCAGAAACTTCCCTAAGAGATGAATCACAACCACAAGGGCTTTAATTTCAATAAAGTACTGGCATTTCATCCTTCTGCCTAAAACTCTGTTAACTTTAAAAGCAGTCACAAATCTGTATGTTCTTCAAAAACATCTTATGTTGATGAATAACAGATATATTATCTATTTCCAAATCCACTCAAGAATTGGTGAACTAAACTGTTCCTTATAATAGACTGAATCAAGTTTATCTTCTGCTTATCATTTTCCCAAGCTGCAAAACTGGAAAATGTGCCTCTATTTCTGTCACTGAAAAAAAAACCAAAACCATCAGCTCTTACCACAGCCAGAATTTCCCTTGTCTTTATTGTGAGGTACAAGAAGCTTTGTTCACTCAAGAACATTTCACATTAAAAATTATTTGGCCCTCTGCCCATACACCTTGTTGTACACAACTGTAACTGATATCAAGCTGCAGCTGATAAGATTTTTAGGTGAATATTTTAGAAAGTTCAGATAAAAGGTATTACCCATTAAAACTATTTTAAACATCAAACATATCTTTTAGAGGTGGCTCAAGAATTATTTGACTTAAGGTGCAAGCCAAACTTTGAAATAAAAGTAAGTGCCCTCAGAATGGGTGTCTGTTACAGAGAGGTGTTTTGCTTCCTTAATTGAGCAAAGCAAGCAAAGTACTAATTTCTTAACAAAGAAACCCACTGGAAAGTCAATAAACGCACATTACAGTGCCTTAATTCCTCACCATTTCCCCTTATTTCAAAATTCACAGTGACTCAGCACATTCACATGGTTTAAACAAGTAATTGTTGGCAAATCTCCTTTCATTGAAGAAAAGCAGGTCTGGAATAGGCTGACTACACACCAGTGCAACCTAGTCCTTAAATATTACAGTAAAACTCTTTATGAAGACAAGTGTAAGGCTCTAGAACAGTGGTCTTCAAAGCAGGGAGGGAAGGGGGTGTATTCCATGCCTAGTTGCATAGTTACTGACTTTATTTGTTAACACAATTAACAAAAATGTGGTGCAACATTGAATTGATTTTCAGTTTTGCACTGGAGCCACATTTAAAGCAGCACTTACCAGTTTAGGTGATGCTCTTCTGTAAAGGCACTGGCAGTCAGCACAATGTAATGTCTAGAAGAAGAAAGGCAAATGAGTACAGTAGCTCAAGATTTTATCCTACATTCTAAACATCAGATGATTTTTCTTCTTGGTAGGAAAAATGCTGTGAGTGGCATAAGACAGCTTCTCCTATCTTCCCTAGGCTTATATGTACCAAAATTTATATGATTACTTCCAGTTTCTTTAAAAAGCCCTAAACTGAAACACATCAATCCAATTTTCTATTTAGAACCCAAGTTAAAACTCATTAGTCTAACCACTAAATAACTTCAAGTTCAGACAACAGATTTCATACATACTTGTACTTCTGAAAGAAGTTCAGTGGTTCAAAGAGCTTTGACCAGTCTGATTTTCCTTTGAGAATCTCATCTGTAACTTCAAGACCTACAAATATGGTTGAAAATCTTATCACTATTTTTTAAAAAATCTCTTTTCAAAAATCTTTAAACAATCTTATGACTATTTTTTAAAGATTGCCATGACAAAGTTTAGAAGATTGTAACAGTAACTGACAGAAGAAAAAAAAGCAGGAATTCCACTGACAAAACGCAGATCCCACAACAGCTGATTGGAAAACTGGTGCCTTATTGCCCGCAATGGGCATTACTTCCCAGAGAAATCTTAAACCTACAACACCTCACTGAACAAAACTAATTCAGATGACACGGTTTCATGGAGCCAGAAGGGAACTTTGATAGGCACAGAATGTACTTTACCACGCTGGAACTCCTCCACCATGACTGCTCGTGTTGACACGGACACGTTGTAGGTGGAGTTCTGCTGTGGATAGGCCGGGGTGATGATGGGCATCACGTGGTACCGGTCTGAGGGGTTCACCTGCGAGGTTACAGCAGCTCTGCTCAGCACCAGCCGAGGGCACAACAAACTTTTAATGCAACTCTGATTGCAATGGCTACCTACCCTGGGGTCCCAGACTGGTAAATTAAGAAAGCTCTCTTCAAGTCGTTTCAGCAATACTGGCTTTGGCCAATCCCTATAGAAGAAAAAAAAAAAAAACAGTGAAGTGTCCATTTTAAGCTCTGCAGTTCAAGGCTGCATGGGATGCTGTCAATGTACATCTTGATATAAATAACTACAAGTGCTACTTCTTTATGCAAATTAAAATAAACAGCTTTTACCATTTTGAAAAAATCAAGAAGAACTTGTTAACGAGAGTAGAGGCCAAAGCATTTGGGTAGAGTTGACATATTCTTGCTACCAGCATGGCCCAGGAGACTCCACCAAGAAATCCCATGATGTTGGAGTAAACACCACGTCCTGGAATGGATACCACACAGTTAGTCTGTGGTCTTTCAAATTCGCAGCACCAGCTGCACAATCTATAGAATACTTAATACATTTCAGCCTCCATGTTATTTATCTTTGCAATGCAGCAAGGCCAAATTGCTGGTCCTTACAAGTGATGAGAAAAAGAATCATTACCACACCACATCCCAAAGTATTGCTACTGTGAAACTTGCTTGTGCTGCTACACCTACTGCTTCACTTCAATTCCCCTGAAGAGAAAGTACTAGAAGAATGGCAGAACCTTTCTCTAGCCATTTGGGCAAATGGGACTTTCTTATTCCTTCTACACTTAATTGAGAATTTTTATCATTTGTAGTCAGGTTCCTGATAAGCAACGCAGTAATGTCTCATAAGCACTTCCCTCTTCTCTGAACTCCATCTCCACTAAAAAAACACATGGAATTTACCACATGGACAGACCATGAACCTAAACTGAAAGGATTTCAATGTAACAACTGCCATTTACATAGCAATCCAAAGCTGAGGTACATCCAACAGTGAGCATGAAAGGTTCAAAGGCCACAACCCACGCTGGCACTCACGTTTTGCCCACAGTTTAACTGCACGGAGCGTGAGGCGGAAGTTCTCCAGGTTGGGCACCAGGCGCAGAATTTCATCTGTGACCCTGCTGCCTGTGGGACAAAAGGGGAAGCACAGGAGTTCCCAGCAACAGGCACAACTCAGGTGTTCCTACACAGGATCAACAGCTTATGGTTCAAGTCTGGAGTACTTGCTTTGTATTAAATTGTGGATTGCACGTAACCTTCAGCATCACTTTAGGTAACCCGTGCCCTCAGCAGCTTTGTTTAGACTACAACTAACAAATTTTAAATAAAGCCTCCCCACAGGATGTTTTGGGCATAAACTACAACCCAGGAAGCTCCACCTCAGCGTGAAGAACTTTACATCACAGGGTGGCAGAGCACTGGAATGGGTTGCCATGGGAGGCTGTGAAATGTCCCTGTCTGGAGGGATTCAAAACTCACCTGGACACATTCCTGGGTCAGCTGCTCCAGGTGACCGTGCCTTAGCTGGGGGGTTGGACTGGATGATCTCCAGAGGTCCCTTCCAACCCTAAATACTCTGTGATTCCAGAAGCTAGGTTTCTTTTGACAGCGAGCAACCATTAAACCAAGTGGTGCTAAACATTGAGCAAGTCAGACTTCAGGTATTTTAATTACTTTCTTTTTTAATGAACAACCTTGTTTATCCTTCATACATTCTTATCAAGTGCCCTACTTCGTCATCTGAATTTCTGGGGCAAGCTGGAGCACCTGCTCACAAACCAATCAAACAAACATGAGACAAGTCTATGTAAACACACAACTCCTTGAAATATCTAAATTTAGGCTCACTGGTCACCTCCTCAGAACTCAAGTACGCTGGAGATCAGTTTCTGCATCTTGTACAGAAAATGGGCTGTGCAATGTGCATTCTATGCCAACTTAAATGTCTCTACAAAGGTGTGCAGGACATGCTCACCATTCAGGCTCCGGATGCATCTTATATCCAGGCTCTTGAGGCACGAGTCATCCCTGAGATCGAGATCGTCAGAAACCGTTGGCAAAGAGAGCTTTGCAAACACAAGGTCAATCTTCAAGAGAAAAAGGGTCAAACATGACTTAGAATGCAGCACTGTTTGCAAACCAGTGAGGGACATTCACGTGGTCACGTGGTTAACGTTTGTATTTAGAACTAGTGGACTACAGATAAATATTTATTTGCCAGAAAACAAGAAAACTGCTCTAAGTTCTCTATTTGTTTACAAAACCACCTCTTTTTTTTAAGCTCAGGAAAGGAAGGGGTTTTTTTTTGAAAGCTGGAAAGATTACTCTAAACTTAGAAATTTTTAATTAACCATAAAATTAAGACAAATTAAAATCACTTCAACTATACTTCAACAAATGAGAAAGCATTTTCTTTATGCTGTAAGGCCTTAAGCATCTGGTTTTTAGTATAACCTGAAGCAAGCAAATTATTCTGTGAATGTCTGTACCAGACAAAGGCCATAAAGAGGTCCTTGAATAAGTGTCTTCATGATAGTAATTACCAAGCAGTAACTTGGTACTTAGGTATTACAGCAAGTGGGTATTTATTCTCTACATGAAATGTATTCCAGATAGGATTCCTGCAGCTGACAAACTGAGGCAGCAGTCCAGTGAGTAGTTTTACTTTTCATTTTCCATGTTGTTTGTCCCACAGGGACTTCATTTTTGATTTGCAGCAGAACATCAGGAGATTTGTGCAGGGAAGCACAACAGAAACACCCCCTGCAGAAAGGGAGCTCTTGTCAGAGCCCAGGGGAGGCAGCAAGGACACTGCCTCTACTCCCACTCTGCACATCCTTGGGAGATAAATGCCACCCAAGCAGGCTACCCTGGTCTGCAGCACAGGTGTAAAAAAAGATGTCACTCATGTTCCCACGCTTGCCACGGGCTTATTTTCCTAGAAGATCCCATTTTACTTTTCTGGGATTGGTTGTGGTCTGGCTGTTTAATTACAGTTCCCTAAATGTGCTGCAATGTACTGATAAAACTCATAAAACAGCAAGATCATAAAACCCTGAAAAAGTTATCCTACTCCAAAGCAGGAAAAACAAATCTCACTTAAAGGTGAAAAAAAAAACCCAAATAAAAATTAAAATTCTTACCTCAATGCCATCAAATTCAAATTTGATAACAGGTACATATGCATCCTCAATGGCCTGTGAAGGAGAGGATATCTCTAATAAGATATCCTTTTGCTACTTTGAAGTTTTTCCTATACTGTGATGAAATACAGATTTACACTGAACTACTCAGTACAAAGATTTAGTTCCTTCCAAACACAAAAAATGCTAATAACTCTCAGGCAGGACAGCACTGTTAGGGTACCAACACTAGATTTTATTAAAAGATCTTATTTAGGCAAGAGATTGAGAGGCTGATCATGTGGTGTAACAAACAGTGCACAAGCCATCAGTATCAGTGGCTGTGAGCCCTTCCTACATCCAAGGTGAAACCACAGCTTCCAGGGACAGCCTTGCTTTTTGATACAGCTGACTCATTCCCAAAACACAGGGAGGGGAGAGGCACCACAAAAACTCTTTTGTGATGTGCTCACTGGGGAAAGGAGCCAAGAGCTGGACAGCAACATTTTCATGCTGCATAAACCAGTATATTGGAGGGTACTCAAAACTGGTTTAACTTTGGCTTGTAAGATATTCATTACCAATGCAAGTCTTTAACATGAATATTCTTACTGTCCAATTTACACAATCTATCAAGCAGAGAGTTTACTCACTCTCAGGTTTTTTACTTCCTCTTGATTCTTCAGCTTTTCAAAGAATGACTGAAAAAAATCTGATCTTTCCACGTGACTGGGAGCAACACAAAGGGCATCGATGTCTGAACCTGCAGGGAGATCCCATTTCTCCTGTTACTGCTGGAAGTCACTTTCCAACATCAGAGCTATGACCAGGCACTCAAAGTACTACCTTTGGTGTGTACTCCAAGTCTGTAGGAGCCAAATGTAAATATTTTGCCACCAACTTGTTCTGTTATTGAAGGGGGAAGATTCTGTAGGTAGAAGAGAAAGTTTAAGATGCACATTATCCTCTGTGCAAATTTAACTTGTGTGAAAGTTACTTAGAAAAACTGTAACAGCCTGCATAAGCAATGTCTTCTCACTCCCTTACATTTTAGTCTATTAGGTTTTAATTCTGTTTTTCTGAAATAAGTTGAGCTTGCCACTCCAAAACAAGATTATAGGTGATGTAGCAGTACTTCTATTAATTCATACAAATTAAGACCTATTATTAGACTTCCCTGCAGCAGAGGCACATAAATTAACACAACTAAGAGCCATTCAAAGGGCATGTCTAGAATCATAATTTCAAGCTAGACTGAGTGCTGTAGGCTGTCTGGGGCAAGATTAGTGCCAATTTCAGCATCTTTCTCATCCACAATGCCTTGTTTTGGCTTTGTTAACAGCTACGAGTCAACTGATCGAGCCAATGCAGGAATTTATTCAGTTCCCCAAAGACTGTGAGAACTTGATCATGAAATACCTTTTACAACATATTTCAGTGGCAGTTACTACAGCTCTACTTAATATTTAAGAAGTTAAAAGCTGAACTTCAGCACAGATCCCAGTAGCCTAGTCTTTAAATCAAAAGGCTTCAGCTGTTTTGACAAAAACAAAAAAAATTCTTACCTTGCTTTCAGCAAGCTCTGAAATCCATTCTCTGACAAAGTTATTCAGCTTTCCAAGAACAGTTGTCCTGTAAAGAAAACTCATGCTAAGTTTGCTTAAAAAAATAAAATAAAATAAAAAAACCCAAGAGGTTAACAAATTTTAGTCTTGTTATACCTGTGATAGAGTTCTTCCTGGTCCTCAAACACCCCAAATGGCTTCATTGCCTCAATCAGCTTCTGAGTATGGATGTGGTCTTTGTCACTAGGAGGAGCCAAGCTAATTGGAGAGGTAAGTCCATAGTGCCCTTGAGGCTGGTTCTGCTGCCTGGAAGTACTGAGAGAAAATACAGGAATGAGTACATGAAAGAAGAAAATCTTATAGGAAAACTACCCTTAGCTTACACTTCACAAATCCATTTCTGCCCTTTCACCCAATGTTGAGAGAAAGGAGGAAAAAATCTTGCTTATCATTTTTAGAACACTTGACTTCACTTAGAAGTCACAACTACTTAAAAAAAAAGCATTTATGGATGTAAGAAACCATCCAAGATGCTGCCACCTTAACACATTTTATTTGCATTGCTCCAGCCCATAAAACAGATCACTGGGAAATGAAAAGGCTTGAAACCCACCAAGGGCAACCCTACAGACAGCACAAGTTTTGGACATGCCAGTTTCAATTTAAGGATATTCCAAAAGGCTTCCTGCTAGCACCAAACAGGACAATTCAACATCTTTTAATTAAACGTTTTTGTTAGGTTTCTACTGATTCAGGAAGGGCTTTTTAGTTGATTGTAAAGCATATAGGTCTGTTAAACAGAGTTGATGCAATAAATTTGGTGTATTACTATATAAACCTCTTGCTTTAGAAAGGGGCAAATGGAGAAAGAACACCTTATTGTGCATTACCAGCTGAAACCAGGAAAGGTTCCAGATGGTAATGCAAAAGGAAAGGAGTGGGACCAGAGGTAAAAGTGGTGCTTAATACAACTCTACAGAAACACCAGCACCAAAAGGAGGAGACACCCCCAAAGATCTCATCAGGGTCCAGACACAGACCCTAAGGCTTAATTGTGCCATTATTTAAGCAGGATATCTCCCTCCTTCACATATGTACAGTTTCAAAGATCTGCTGGGTTAGGCAAGACATACTTATACCTATTTAAGGTACCTGACCCCATGCTGGCTGGAACAATATTAGGAAATGCTCAAAGGCAAGCTTCACCACTTGATTTTTTTAAAAGACAGGTTACTGCACAGCTCCTTATTTCTCATTGTTGCCTTTACTCCCTCTCTTAAAGAGATTTCCCTCTCTTTAAGTATCCTTATGCAATTACACACAGAGCTTCTAGTCACGTAGGGGTTTTTTTGCGCCCTTTTCCTCTTTCTAAGCCTGTTTTTAATACTTTCTTCTCTGTGCTTTCCAAAAAGCTGGGGAGGGAGGTATTAGGACTGTAGTGCTATCAACAGGTGTCCCCAGTCAGAAAAGCTGTTTATTTACAAGCCTAACTAGGCCTTGACCTAATTTACCTTGTTTATAGACATTGACAATTTCCACTTCATAAATAAAAATATTCATAATGAATATTTTCCTTCCCATGATATCATTTTCATAACAAATACAGGAGGAAAGCCTGTACTTAATTGCTGTGCATTACAACTAAATTAAAACACCTACAGCAGCAACTGCTTCCATGTTTTATGCATTGCTTGCATTGTACAACTTGCACTTCATAAAGTTTGCACAGAACAAGGACAGGATTTAGACTACACCAGCATTTAAGATGTTTCCAAGGTACAAAAAGGCACCACCTGCCTTTCATTGCCTCATTCTGCCTACAGATGATATAACTGGAGATTGACGTAAAGCACAGTATCAATTAGATAAACCTAATATTATTAGCATCAAATATGTTTATTTTTAATTAAATATTATTCATATAAAATTCCTCCAGTCAACAATAGATATTTTTCAGTTGCTTACACGTATCACTGATAGTTTGACCTCACAAGTTAAGAGGTGAGGGAAGCAGCACCTGGCAAGTTTCACTGAGTGAAACTGAAGAATTTGTTGCCCCTTTTGGAGTAAGAAATAAATGAAGTCCTACTTTCCTCTCTCAAACATATAAGCTCATAATTAAGGGATCTTATGGATCCTAACACATATGGCACACCACCCATTCACCCACCAGCCTTCTCCTTAAACCAGAACCCTGTTGCACTTTAATATTTTGCCAAACCTTGCTACAACCTGTGCATCACAGCAAAAACCTCCAATGTGTGTCTGTTCTGGTAAACCACACTTTTACACAAAAAGCCATCCTAAACGGATTTATTCCGGGTTTTGCCCCTCATTTATAGCTCCCCAAGCCGCAAGGCGTGTCTCCCCACACACCACGGGTCCGGGATAAGGTCACACTATGCGGCACAGGCCTTCAGCCATCGCTGCGGGGCTGAGCGACCCGAGCCCGGCTCCTGAGCCACCAAACCAACAGCAGAACCCAGGGAAAACACGGAAGGAGGAAAATCCCCACCACCTGGGACCTTCATCGAAGGGAGCCCAACTCCACCCTTCACCGCTGCCGCCCCAGCTCATGCTGCGCGGAGCCCGCGGGCGGCTGTGCCGGCTCAGCGCTCCCCGTGCCCGTCCCCGAGGCTCGGGCAGCCACTGCTCGGCTCTCCTCCGCAGGGCTCCGCAGGACGCGCAGCCCCAGAGCAAGGCGCAGCCCCGTTACCGCCGTTCCTCGCCGGCCATTGCCGTTGCTTGGCGACGGCGTCGCCGCCACACGCGGTGAGACCCGGGCGAGGCAGCCCCGCCACCCGCACTCCACCATTTATTTCAACCGGGAATTCCTCCCCTGGTGGGCGAGGGCAGCTCCGGCCCCCCCCGCGGCCCGCCGGGGCCCCTGGCGGGGCGGCTCCGGCGGGTGTTCCCCCCCCGGCCCGGCGCTGTCCCCTCAGGGCAGGGCGGGAAGGCGCCGCCGCCTCACCCGCGCGTCTCCTTCATGGCGCGCGCGCACAGCCCGCGCCGCCGCCCGCGCTTCCCGCCCTTCTGCACCGCCGCCCCCTTCCCGGCGGCCCCCGCGCCCGCCTGCCCGCCCGCCCGGCGCCCCCTGGCGGCTGCCGCGGAGTGCGTCCCCTCACGGCGGCCCCGCCGTCCCATCGGGCTGTAGCCGGGGTCCGTCAGCGTTTCTGTGGGACGGTGTTCCTTCCCCGTGCCCATGGTCCTTCCCCGAGGAGGATATTCCTTCCCCGAGGAGGATATTCCTGCCCCGTGGCGTGACAGACCCGCCGAGCCGGGCTGGTCCCCGGCATGAGGCAGCCCCGCATCTCACCCTCCCTCCCACAGGACGCTCCCGCTCCTGACATCCCCTTCCAGAAAGGAGGGGTAAAAAAAGGACGGGAATCGCTCTCGAATTAGGCTCCTGACAGCCTCTTGACGTCCCCTTCCAGAGAGGACGGGTGGAAAAACCCGCAGGAATCGCTCTTGTATGAGTTTATTCTCATCCAGTAAGTGCAAGCATCCCTTGACTGCAGCTGGTATCGGTGGGATTTAACACACATTGCCAATGTCAGGGAATAGTACCCGCCACAATATCATTACCATACATAATTATCACAGAAACATGGAGTGGTTTGGGTTGGAAAGCACCTTGAAGATCATCCATTTCCAACTCCAGGGACACTTCCCATTACCCCAGGGTGCTCCAAGCCTCAATGTCCATCCTGGCCTTGGGTGCTTCCAGGGATCCAGAGGCAGCCATGCCACCCTCGCAGGGAAGATGTTTTTCCCTCATATTTAATCAAAACCCACCGTCTTTCAGCCAAAACCCATTCCCCCTTCTGTCACTACAAACATTTGTAAATAGCCTTGCCTCATCTTTCCTTGAAGTCCCATTCAGGCCACAATTATCACAATTTTGGGCCAATGCAGTGTGTTACAAACTGAGCTTTAAATCAGCCAAACTACCCCGAGAATATGGCATTTAGATGGCAATTCCCCACTCACATTCAAGTCTGCAAAAAGTAAAAAAATCAAAAGCATAATGCTTCTGTAAAGTTGAATAGGTCTTTGGAAAAACTTTTGCTTCCTGCTGCTCCGATGTCTTGACACGTCACAGCCTTTTTATGAGATTAGCAAATGATTTCTGTACTTTTCTGAGTTGTCTTTAACATCTTTTTTGAGGCAAAATACATATTATCTTTCAAGATGCTTTGCAGAAACGCAAATTTAACTTTTGTCCTGAAATTTTAATAAATTAACGAAACAAAAGTACCTTTAGCAGGATTATGTTACATACCTTACTCAAATAACTTACTGGGGAGTTGAAAATTATTTTATCTACTGAATGTTTGCATGGTGGTGTTTGTGCTAAAATTTCAGTCTGATAAAATTGATGCTTCTGCAAAGAGTTATAGTGGTAAAGAAAAAATCAAGAAAATTTATTGAGAGCTTTTGTTGAACCTCTAGCCAAGAACATTTTATTCTCAGAAATCCATTAGGGTATTCTTTAATATTTTATGGTGCTCACAACAATACTGTGATCCTACAATCAGGAAAACTTGTATGCTGCTTTTTTTTTTTTTTTCTTTTCTCTCAGGTTCATATCCCTACTTAGTGTGAGGAAAACACCTGCCTTTATTTTTCCTGATTTACAAGGCCAGTTACCCAAGTTTAATTTTTTTAAACCTGAAACCTGTTTCTGCTGCATGCTTTAGTACCTCAATAGGAGCTTTGCCTGCCCACAGATGTGATGGGAGGTTTTTAATGGAGAAGTGATACTTTCCTTTAAATCACCTGGAACATTTAGGAAAAAAAATTAGCAACTCTTCAAGCACAGAAGTTTTTCTTCAGGTACAACTCTAATGTTAAATGGAAGTGAAGACTAATCCAGCTTTACCATCTGCAATGCTCAGCTAATATAGAGGAAAGGCAGGAGGTGTTTGAGAAACAGAAAGAGTTAGAGCATGGGTGAGCTCTTAGGGTGGTTAGAGCTTGGCTTCACACATAAAATGATTTTTCTGGAAAAGGGATGGTGCTGAGAACAATAATTAAATAGGGTTCTTCTTGTTAGGGAGTTTATAAATTTTAGTTTACTGTGTTATGTGAGGTGACTGGGTTAGGTCTCTGTGAGTCGTTTGCTTTTGGTTTTTTTTAACAGAAAATAAGAGTCTCCTGTTATCTGCCATTTATTTAGTCTAGCATTAGTTAGTTGCTGCTAGTTATTTGATTGTGATTTATTCTGTATATTCTGCCCACATTACTGCCACAGTTTTATCTGTAGCAGTGACTAAACCACATCATGTTCCAGGGTGTATAGAGTTTGAGGACAGTTAGTTTCAAGGTAGTGCTTTCCTCTGCTGGATGAGTTAACTTTTGTGAAGCACCTAGGTTATAGAAATGGCCAGAAATGAATTAAATACTGTAATTGGGGTTCTTTCTTGGTGGGTGTCTATGTCATCCAGGTAGCATTAGCTTGAGAGTAATGTGAAGTAGGGGGAGGATGTTTGGGTTTGTTTTAGTTTTTAAATTGCTGCTGCATTGTCAAGGAGTCGATATCCTTCCTTCTCTGTTGTAAAAATGAGGTGATATCTGAGTACTTTCAGTCTGTCAGAGGCTATTCCTGAATTATGGAGAGGTGCTTTGTAAACAGCTAGGCTATGCATTTGCACGTGTCAGAGTCTGTGTATGTGATTTTAATCTATTCTGTGGAGTTAATGATGTTAGTGTGATGTGGTTTATAAAGCACTTGTGGGAGACTGCGTGTTTGATAGACTTGTGAAGTTTGACAGCCTACTTATTCCTGGATAAAAGAAGTTGTCTGTGTATTCCTTATAATCTTCCTGCTGTTGTTTCTTACCCCTTTTCCACTTGGGTCTGTTCAGTTGCCACCCTGTGTTCCATAGGGAATTTTGCTTGTAAATGCCTGTCCCTTTTCAGTGGGAAGTGACAACTTTGTCCATTTTTCCCTCTTTAAAAACTGTTTTTCTCTATCCCACGTGAGCTAATTACCCATTACTATTTTATTTGATAAAGTGCTTTGTGATTATCACATTTAAATGCCATAAAATTTTAATAATTAAAGATGAATGAGCCTAAACAGATTTTTTTAAAGGCAGCTCAGAAGAAATTTGGAGTTTATGCATGAAAAGTTATGTACCAGCTACTGCACCTGACTCTCTGCTTCAACATGTGAAATATGCCTAAGAGGGAGACTGCTGCAGTGAAAATATTTGTGTGGTATTAAAATATTATCCACATCACAGAAATTTATCAGAAAAAAAATAGTTTATTCAAACTTTGTGTTTGTGCAGAGGATCTTATCTGTGTAATGCGCTATATTTCACTAGAGAGATTTTTGTCAGCAATAATTTGTATATATACATTTAGGCTCTGATGAATATCAGCTGAAATATGAAATTCAATTCTAGAAAGCTGCATTTTGTAATAAATGTTCCCAGGATTCACTAATCTATCACGTGGAAGATCTATGTTGAGAGATAACACTGGAACAGCAGAAGATGGGGTTACTGAAGACAGATCTTGGATGGTTTTAAATAAGTGGTGGCTGAAGGATTTGAGCACTTTGTTGTGGATTTGGGTTTTTTTCTTTATTTTTCAATTTCATCAATTTACCAAGGGGCTGTAATTCTGTAGCCTTGTAACCTTATAAGCTGCTGAGAACTGTAAATGCATAAAATATTATATTTTAAGCCAGCTGAAGCAGCAAGCTTGCCTTGGAGGGCATCCCTTTAGGACTGTTCTGTTCCAGTGCCACTTGTGCTTCCAGGCTGCCTTTCCCCCATGGTCGTGAGCTCCTCGCATGGGCCATTCCCGGGGATTCTTCCCCTCACTGCAGTCACTTGCTGGGATTTCCACGAGCCCCTGGTGACGAGCCAGCAGAATGGACCCTCTGCTTTGTTTTCCCAGGGAAGTTTTGAACGCAGGATTGGAATTCCTGGTGCCCTTCCCCGTCCATGAGGAGCAGAAGGCTCGCTGGACCTGCAGAGGCAGGCGGTGCAGGTGCCATTGGCACCAGGAGGCGGACGGGTCACCGCCCGGCGCGGCTCCCAATTGAAGCAGAGATGAATGCCGGTGTTAGCCGCTCCTAAAACAGGTTAGTTAATGGGAGCTAACTGTGAGCTCGCTGAAGCAGCACTAATCTCACTCAAGTGTCTGTCTTTGATCAGCTCATTCTCTCTCAGCAGGCCGAAAAATAGCCACAGGACAGGAGTGCTCGGTTTACAATCACGGTAATTTCGCTTTAGGTTTGTCTTTAGCTGCTGGAGATTAATGAATCAAAAGGGTGTTTAAATTTACAGCCAGTTCTCTTCTAATCACTTGGCAGTATCATTTCTGGCTGTTTTCTGCTTTGATTACCTGAGCCAGTCATCCAAAGGATGCTGCTGTTCTGCCATCTGATAGTGGGGTACAGCTTTAAATGTTTGGGAACTGGGAAATGATAGCAGAGGGTGTTCAGGATTTTTTGGTTTTCCAGCTGTTTCCTGAGCTGTGTATTTGTTACAACCAAGTCCAAATCCACCATCTCACTTTCTTCTTCACTCATATTTGCCCATGAAACAGTAATTTTTTAT